GGGGGAGGAGCACGGGGCTCCGCCTTGGCCTCTGCACTCCAAATTCATATACAGGAGGGTCAGTATCTTGGTCAATATATGTGAAGGCAAAAAAAAAACAACCTCTTTCACAGAAAAAAGCATGGAAAAATTAAAGTGAGATCCAAGAGAAAAGCAGAAGAGATGGCACTGTGGATGTGAATTAGCTGGACATGGGAAATAGTAAACAACAGTAAGACGAGCCAGAGGCCAAAAAAAGCCAAACAGACAAATTCTCAGTTTTCTGAAATAGAACAGCAAGTCTTTCCTCTTTGGGGGAAAAAAGTCATTGAACTCTTTTACTTTAAATTAAAATTGAAAGGGGCTACATGTCGCAAATAGTAGTTTTAGCCATGATGTCACTACCCAAGAATGTGTAGCAATCAGCTGTAAGTGCACTGCAAGTAGTTTATTACTGTTAATAAATGTGATCAAAGTTTGCAATTGTTATTTTTTTAAAAAACCCAGCAGACTCTACACACAGTTTTCACTCTATTATGATCATTCTCACTCTTACAACTGGCTGCTTGAGCATGAGAGGGAGTGTGGTGTGGTCCCCAGAATGAGAATGCCCCAGGAGTCACAGCGGGAAATGCGTAGAAAGTGCCACTAGGAGGGCTGGACAAAAGAATGCTCCATGGCTGTTGCTGCTTGTAGCAGGTCGGTTGGAGTAAAACAAGTCGCTGCATTAAATTACTTACCTCCATCACCCTCTTCAAGAATGCATATTTTAAAAGGAGACAAGTTATTATATTAAAAATTACTTGCTCTGGCATTTTTCAAACTACATCAAATAATGATAAAAAGTCAGATTACAAACTTCCTCGTATTAATTCCAGCTATCGTCATTTACCAAACTAAAATTCAGATGATCACTAATGAACTTTTAATAAGTTTCATAACTTTTCAAAGTGCACTACGATTTTAGGACAATATAAATGTTTCAATTAGAAAGGCTGAGAAAGATAGACACTCCATGAAAGAGAATATGAAAATATCACCCTAACCAATGATGGAGAAATTAAGGGATGAATGACCATTAAAAGAACTCTCAATGAAACGGATCGGTTCTCCTGGTCACAAGTCACTTCTGAGAAACGCGTGGCTAGGTGAGCTCGCTGTGCCATCACTGAGTGCCCTGGCACAAACCTAGGTGGCACAGCTTACTACACGCCTAGACTGCATGGTAGAGCCTGCTGCTCACAGGCTACAGCCTATAAAGCACTGCACTGTACAAAACACAAGATTAAATCAGGCACAGGAGAAAATGATGCCATCGAGAGACGTGGTAAACACGAGATGCCTGAGGCTGCCGCCGGTGGAACACAGCAGAGTGTTTCACAGCAAACAGTTCCTCTCTAAGTAGAAAGATTACAGAAGTAATGTCAAGTGGCATCAGCAACGTGGCACACTCAGAAGACGCCACTGTTCCTCTTAAATTTACAAGTCAGACAACTACAACTCAACCAAGAATCCCTTGCTTGACACACAGACACGCCTAGAAGATCTACCATAAGGACACCTGAAGGTGGGCATAGAGACTCACTAAGGGTAAAAGAGAAAAGACTCAAATAAAATCAGAATTGAAAGAGAGGTTACAACAAACGCCACAGAAATGCAAAGGACTGTACAAGCGCACCATGAAAGGCCACACGCCACCAAGTTCGACGATCTAGAAATATACAGTCCTCCTAGACTGAACCATGAAGAACTGGAAAACCTAAATAGACCCATTATTAATAAGGGAACTGAAGAAATAATCAAAAACCTCCCAAAAAACAAAAAGGACCAGATGGCTTCAATGGTGAATCCTACCAGACATCCAAAGAGATTCGACACCAATCATTCTCCATGTCTTCCAAGACAAAAGAGGAGGAAGTAGTTCCCAATACTTTTTATGAGGCCAGCATTACCTGATACCAAAACCGGCAAGGACAATACAAAAAAAGAAAATTACAGGCCAATATATCTGATGAACATAGAGACAGAAATCCTAAACCAAACACTAGTAAAGCAAATACAGTAAGAGGATGATGCATCATGATCAAGTGGGGATCATTCCAGGGATGCAAGGGTGGGTCAAGATATGCAAATCAATCAACGTGATAAACCACATTAACAAAATAAAAGATAAAAATCATACGATCACATCAATAGATGCAGAAAAAGCATTTGACAAGATTCAATATCCATTTATGATTAAAACACTCACTAAAAGGGGTAGAGAAGTCAAGTACCTCAACATAATAAAGGCCCTCAACTGATATCACACTCAATGGTCAAAAACTGGAAGCTTTTCTGCTAAGACCAGGAACAAAAATTTTTTTTCTCCAAATTGCTTTGGCCATTGGGGTCTTTTGTGGTTCCACAGAAATCTGAGGAATTTTTGCTCTGTATCTGTGAAGGGGACAATTGGTAACATGGTCATATGGCCACTTCAATTGCTGATTCATCCAATCCATGAACATGGACTATCTTTCCATTCGTGTCCTGTTCAATTTCTTTCAACAATGTCTTGTAGTTTCCAGCTTACACGTACTCCCACTCCTTTACTGAACTAAATCCTAGGTATTTTATTCTTTTTGTTGCAATTGTTAAAATAAATGGGATCATTTTCACAATTTCTTTCCTTGACATTTCATTGTTAGTATGTAGGAACGCAACAGACTTTCGTATATTGGTTTTGTATCCTGCAACTTTAACTGTGCTTGTTGTTTCTAAAAGTCTTTTGGTGGAGTCTTTATGGTTATCTATATGTAAAATTCTCTCATTTTCAAATAATGACTTTGACTTTTCCCCAATTTGGATGCCTTTTATTTCTTTTTTGCCTGCTTGCTTTGGCCTATTCTCGCCACCGTTATTCCATATAGTCATTTATTATTATCAAGTATTAGGTATTGTACATAATTGTATGTGCTGTACTTTTATACGATACGCAGTGCAATAGGTTTGTTTCCACCAGCAGCACCACTAACATGTGAGTAATGTGCTGCACTAACGTTATGATGGCTACATCATCACCAAGTGACAGGAATTTTTCAGCTCCAACGTTGTACACGAGTCCATGAATGATCGAAACATTGTTATGTGATGTGCGACTGTAGGTCAACACCTGGCTACTTCCTACCCGAAATGAATTCTTAACATAAACAGATAGAACGGTGTATTTAGTGGGAGCAATACATTTANCCAACGTTGTACACGAGTCCATGAATGATCGAAACATTGTTATGTGATGTACGACTGTAGGTCAACACCTGGCTACTTCCTACCAGAAATGAATTCTTAACATAAACAGATAGAACGGTATATTTACCGTTCTGTGCTTTTCCTTTTAAAACCAAATATGCTTTTATGTGCTACCTTTACTTTCAGATGTTGTATTAGAACCCCTTCATCTCTGAAGGTCTCTGCATTGAGGAACTCTATCTGGAACCTTGATCAACTGTGCTGAGTNCCTTTTAAAACCAAATATGCTTTTATGTGCTACCTTTACTTTCAGATGTTATATTAGAACCCCTTCATCTCTGAAGATCTCTGCATTGAGGAACTCTATCTGGAACCTTGATCAACTGTGCTGAGTATGACACACTCAGAGCTCTACATGAAACAGCGTTTCATGTGCTGTTGATTTCAGGAACTATATCCACCAAGTGAACACTACGCCGTGTTTCAGAGCATCAGACATTAAAAGGGGAACAATGCAGGGTAGGGTGGGGGGCCCCATTCAGTGTCTCAGCACAAAGAAAGAGGTAAGTGTATCGTAAGGAGATGGGAATCAACACAGGAGCTTATGAGCACTAGGCCGCTTTGCAGATCTTTGGGCAGGAGCCAGGAATAAAATTGTTAACACTGTGGGGCACTGTTGGTTTAAAAGGGACTTGTGAGGGAGATAAGACATGAAATAATAATTACCGTATCAACAGCAAACTCTTAAACCAAGCCAGTCACTGCATTCTGAATGCTAATTCTATACTTTAACATACCTTGTTAACTCATAATTCTCAAAATAGCCCTAAGCAGTAGATGTTATTTTATCACCTTTTTGCAGATGAAGAAACTGAACACAGTAATTAGGAAACTTTCTCCATGGAAGTCAGAGGGGGAAAAACAAACTCAAAATTCTTAACTCTCACACCCACGCTACCATTCAGGAAAATTTGGTGAGAGAGATTTCTGAATAGCAATGATGACCTATTTTCTCTTCTCTTATAGATCAGAAGTCAATATTCCTAATCAGCCCACCAGGAATAAACTGGGAATTTATCATGTCAAAGTGAAAAGAAGAACTAAAACAAATTCAATAAAACATTTTAACACAAATACGATTCTTCATTCTATCTAGCAAATACACATTTCTCTACTGGTTTGGGGCTCTGTATGAAGCTGATGATAATCTCATGCTCCCTTCCTGGCCAATTAACACAAAATACTTTAAGACAACAAAAGGGGCCAAGAGAAGAGGGAAAAAAAAATATATATATATTTTTTTAAAGAAAAATAAATATTACCTCTGAATGCTGTAAAACTTTTAAAGATTACTTAAATTTTAGATTCAGCAAAGCGTGCATCTCTGTCCTGCCTCTCCCTGTTATCTCTGAAGGCAGAGAAAAGTATTAAGAAAAGCCCAGGGGAAGCAGCAGTGGAAGAAAGGTAATAGAAATTTCCCTATGGAGCTCCCACAGCTCACCCAAGACAAGGAGCTTCAGCTTTAGGGGGTGGCTACAGCTGGACATGCTATATTTCTCGAACTTTAGTAAACACAGTAATAACTGGACAATTCCAGTCCCGTTCCCCCAAATTCCAACACAGCAGCCTTGAAGATGGAGCATAAGGTTTTTCAATTTTACAAGCCTCCCAGGGATTTTCCCTGTTATCTGCAGGTTATAATCTAAGAAATACCTTGAAGAGAAATGCAAGCTCACTACCTAGCAAGCACTGTGTCCCACACCTTCAGGACGTTCACTGGTCCCAGGGCCTACCTGGCTCAGCGTCCTTGGGCCTGTGTTCTTCATCAGAAGGGCGGGATGGTGACCACACAGATGGGACTCGCCTGGGAAACTGCCCTTCTGTGTAATCCAGGGAGTGTGTGGGCTGGCTAACGGCAGCCCAGGTGTAAAGTTGATCTTGCTATATTTAAAAACAAAAAAAATTTAAGCTATTTATTCAATCGCAAAAATGAAGTCATCTTGACTGATATATTACAACATCATTTTTAACATAAATATACATGCGGGATGTGTGTATACGGGGGTGGGCAAACGTAGGGTTACAGTTGTTAGTATGCAAAGGAGTTTATTCTCGTATTATTATTTATTAATTATTGTGTTATTTATCTCTATTACAACTGTAAACTTACTGTTGCCCACCCCTGTGTGTGTATGTATATATATATATATATATATATGTATNATTATTATTTATTAATTATTGTGTTATTTATCTCTATTACAACTGTAAACCTACTGTTGCCCACCCCTGTGTGTGTGTATGTGTGTATATATATATATGTATATATATATGTATATATGCATATATATAAAACATTAAAAGAGCATTTTACCCTATTAATGAGGATTCATAACATACATTCCTGCACACAGTCATTTTCTTAACCATGCTTGCCACAATTTTTTATAGTAAAATCTACATTTCCTTGAATGCAGAGATGCCATGTGGGCCTGCAGAGAATTAAAACATCAGAGAATCAGACATTTAACCGGAGAACTCCCTGGACAGTGTCTTTAATCCATTTGAATTCATGATGTCGCTTTAAAATCTGTCTAAACACTTGAGGCACCGTCACAGGACAGGCTGTCCTTGGGCACCACAGGCCATATCAGCTCCCTTGTGGTCAACACAAAAGGTCCGGAAAACCAACTCATCTCAGGTCCCAGCTGCAAAGAGGCTCGGGAGGGAAACCACGAGAAGGAAATGAACCTGCCAAGAACGAAAGAACTGGACAGCGATCTCCTGGCACAGCAAGCTCTCCCCAGCTGCAGACCCGCAGAATCTGGGCAGAAGAAGGCTCAGAACACCCCCAGTGCCAAGGAGCAAAGTGGGAATCTCACAAAGAGGCCGCTTTGAGGCCGACACGCACCTTAGGAACCTGCTCCCTTGGATTTCAGAATAATACATGTTTAACCAGCCTAGGACGCACGCTCTCATTTTAGGATGCCAGGAGAGTACCAGAGTTTTCTTGGCATTTTTGCTGATTGTCACTAAGTTTTTCGATCAATGAGTAATTGCCCTGCGGCACTTCCTCAACAACTCATGAATGTCTTTTTCTCTGCTGCATTTCTGTTTAACATTTCAGGAATGTCTCTGTGATTTTCCTGACTGATGTATGTGAGCTAAGCTCCTTGCTACCAGTTACCATATCCTACATCCCCCCATTTTCCTTGAGATATTGTAATAGACACACAGTGAGTACTAAGGAATTACAAGGGTCAAGATCAATAAAGGCTGTCTGTTAACAAATCAAATCAGAGTTTTATGTCTCGGTTAAAACAGGGATGTGTTTCCCGTGGTGCTGTTCAACTTCCTTAAACCCTTAAGGTCTGTTTTGACTTTGGTTGAAGTAGATCATTTCTTTCTATTAAAGAAAACAAAGACAGGCTTTCTACTAAAGGCACATAAGAGAATTTTCAATCACAACTTAAAAGAGGCATAAACAGACCACAGAAGGGGAAAAAAAGTTGCTTTCAGCAAATATTTCCTCATCTTTATAAGTGGGTTATAAATAATAATTCCCCCAGTAGCTCAGAACTACAATACGCAAATACTTGATCTTAGAGGGCCCATGAGAAAACACTAATGCTCCCAGTTAGGCATTCTGAGAGCTCTTCATTGAGATTTTTATAACCAATATGAGAGCCTGGTTATCACCTGAAAGTATTTCAGGTTAACATTGTTCTGAGAGTGCTATAGGCAAGAACATCCCACGGCCCATTGGTCTGTATATTGAAACAAAATCCCCATTGCTCTCTGGAAGAACTCTCGCCCTTCTCACTGCTGTCCTGTGACTCAGCAGTGAATGGAGATGGGAGGTTCATGCACATGGGAATAAATCTTGCTTTGGTTTTCCCTCTTCCCAGTAAGCTCTCAGATCTGCCCCAGCTCTCAGGCCAGTGACTCCAGATTTGAAAGTAAAATATAGTATCTGTATTCCAGACAGTCCAGGAGTTACAATCTCCCATCAGATTTCAAAAATTCGTCTGAGGAGAAAAGTGTCTTTTAAAAACAGGCCTAAAAGCATGCGGTTCATTCATTTCTTTACACACACACATGCTCTATCATCTGCTCCTGGAGTGAGCAGATAAAACCTGTCGCCACCAGCAGAGGGCGCTCTACCGACCCCTGGCCACAGGCCGGCCTGCAGCAGGGCTTCCGCTGCACTGGGCTTGGGTGTGACCTCCGAGGACTACTAGGTCCCCTGGAAGGAGACCCCTGAAAATGCCCACCCCATTACACAGTATTTTAGGGAGGAGGGCGCTGAAGGTTAATTTATTTCTGATTTTAGGACTTTACAGCTTCATCTGAAGAATGAAACAGTCGGGTGGTATTTTGAGTTTGTGCTCTTTAAAATCTTATGGACCATTGTGTTGATCAGATTTGCTTTTGGTTTTGGCTGTTAGAAAATCTGAAATTGGTATACGGCCCACCAGCCACAGGTTTGAGGGTGCCAGGAGCAGCATTCCTTGTTTTATGTTCCATTTCAGTTTTGTTTCCTTTTGTCTTTTTGTTCCTCTTTTTGCTGACAGCTCATTTTTATTACCTTAAACTATCTTACTTTTCTTACTAAGCATCGTAAATACTTTTTGGAATAAGGTGGCAATAAGCAGATTATTAGTATTAGGGAAATAACGTAAGATCCATGTATTTATCTATTTTAACTGATTTAAACTTTTTATAGGGTAACTGGCTAGATAAAAGATACTGATAGTAGATGGAATTGTTCTCACAATATTTTCATTTACATTGATCATTTAAATACAAAAACAATAGCACAAGTCTATTGAACAAGGTATGGGACAGAAGAAAAACAGTAACTACTCAGTACCATGCACAACAGCATCCACTCGGTATATTATTTTTTCATCTTTCTTTGAATATTTTCGTAGCTATGATCATATCACACAGTTTTTGTAAGTAGCAAGCCATACATTTTTAATTCATTCCATCACTTCCACACTTTCCCACCTTCTATCATGAACAAAGGTGTCTGAGCTTTCACTTTGTAGAGCACAATTAAGAGTGTATATAAGAATTCTCATCACAAGGACAAATTTATTTTCTTTTTATTGTATATCTCTGAGGTGATGAATGTTAATTAAACCTACGTGGCAATCGTTTCACAATATATGTACATGGAACCATCATGCTTACGCCTTAAGCGTGGATACAGTGATGCATGTCAATTACGTTCCAATACAACCAGAAAAACAAAATGCTTTAAAAAAGAGCCAATGAACTTAAAATTGAAAAAGTATAGTATTCTGCCACTCTTTCTAACGCTTTCAAAAGCCTTCTCAAGTAGCAAAATAAGCATTTTGTTTGTTTCTAGATCTTATTTTTCTCCCTCTCCTCTGTCCTATGTGTTGTTACTCGGCTGACTAACAATTATATCTGTAAACCTAACGCATATCACATGCTCCGTGATTCCTAATAACCTGCAGGTGTTCAAATTCCACCTTCTTGGTCAAAACCTTTTGCTTTATCTTTTCTGAAGACAGGTCCTGACACACCTTTTCTAGTTTGCGTGAGGCCTTCCCATACCAAAGCGGGTGAGTTATCTCACCATCCCAGAGCCAACCAGGATATTTCCAGGCTGCCAGGTCTAGCCTGCTGCTGCTGAAAGGGTTTTTAAAAATTCCCTGCCTTGAAGCCACTTCCCGGTCTCTATTTCAGAGACTAGACCTCCTGTGACTGCCTCCCACACATTACTGGAACCAGTCTCCTGACTCAGCACCTCCCTGGCACTTCTTGTGGAAATGCAGCCCATGAAACATGGATGAATTACAAAAGAAACTCCCCTGCAGAGACTGTGTCTTCAATGAATAGTCAATACATTTTAAGTATCTTAAAACAAAATTTCATAACCAGTGACTGGTTTGGAATTTGGGGTTTGATCCGTTTCAAGCACAGCTAAATGTTTCCTTCTTTATTGGCCTCTTTTCAGTGATATAAATTCATAAAAATCCAAAGTCTTAGCCACTGTTAAAAAAGGGCATCTGATTAGGTTGGATACGCCAGTATCCAGATGGACTCCTAATGCAGCTAAGGAGTCCCTTTATGGACTAACAAACTGCAAATTGTTCATCAAAATATGTGAGGGGAAGAATTAAAAATTACTCAAGAAAACATCTTCTCATATAAGAAGCAACCAATGAATGAGTAAATAAGTGGAACAACAAATCGATGTTTCCCTTTCTCTCTCTCTCAAATCAATACTTTTTGTTTTTTTTTTTTCATTTTAAAAATGAGTTCATAGTATCAAAAGGGCCCAGAGAAAGGAACATAAGTTCAGACTGGGCCTGGCAAGGAGAGAGAATCAGGACTGACTTAGATGAAAGGAGTAAATTGTGAATGTCAGAGCCCATGGTGATAAGGGGAGAAATAAAGAAAGAGCACTGAGAGCAGGGGAGCCTGGATGAGGGTCACTTACTCAGAAGCCCACTAGTCTCCCTCTGCCCACCTCACAGCCCTGCTCAGTGAGAAGTAGAGTCACACTCATTAGCAATCCACTCTTAAAATTAGATCCCAACAAACCCCAGCCGACAGGGAGATACCTAAATGCCTGCAGTGAAACCTTCCCAGTGGAGTGCAGGGGACTCCATTCGCGACCTTGCAGGCCTCGCCTCCCTCGGAGTCCAGACCAGAGCTTACATTTTCTCGAAGGTGTTAGGAGCTCAAGGGACTGGGGTAATCTGCTCCAGATGAACACTTACCAAGCAGAATTAGCACATATATTACAGCTGCCTATTGAGTCTCCCCTCACAGAAAGAGAAGCTAAAATGAAGGCTCGGCCTTATTACTTATTTTCAGGAGCTATTGACAAAGGAGACTCCTGTTAGAAATTTTGCCTTTGCCTTTGAGGGTACTTGGTCACCAACTGCCATTAGCACAGA